CGAAACCGAAGAGATTTCGGGAAACGAATAAATTTTTAGGTGTCCCAGAATTTATGAGAACAGCTGTAAATGTGGAGCAAACTATTCATATTACGAGATCAGGTGTAAAAGAAGATTCGTGTATCATTTATTGTTCAAAGCTTTAAATTTTATTATCGAACTGTTGAAGTATAATTTTAACGTTAATCTAAACCTAACTGTGGTGATACGCTCGTAACTTTTCGAGCCGATAATTTTATATATTCCACGGCCCTATATGTTCGCCCGTTTTATGATGATGTAATGCCGTGAAAATATCTATTACATATTGTATATTAGTATATATATTTTTTTTACCTAAATCCCAAACCAATACCAAAATCCAAAATTTTATATAACCTTTTTTGAAAAACGGTAAAGGTTTTAGCATTGATTTGGGATTTAGGTTTAGGGGTCTGCAACCTTGCACGTGCCTGTGTCCAGGCACTTCGTGTCTGTGGCCGAACTCGAAACATTTCGGTTCAAGAAATAAGTTTCGGCACCCATCTCTAATCGAGATATAAAAATTTACTGTAAATTGGACCTTTTCGGTTTTGCTTCAAAAAATTTCTCTGCCTTGCTGTAATTTAAGTTTTTCATTTTTTACATCAGGAAACATCGGTTTCTAGATTTTATCTGTTTATTTAGTTGACTCATCTGACCCGAATAACAGCTCTAAATTGGCCTCTATGAACTATATATTCATCCCATGTATTACTCGTGAAAAATTATTTGAAAAGTCAGGCAAAAGTTGTAGTTAAAAAAACTTCCGTTTCTTCAAAATTTTTTTACAGGTAATTACGGTAATTTAAATGTCTTATCCTCTAGCAAAGTATATGCCGGTAAATTTGAAATCCTATTTAAAATACTAATATAAACCAATTCGTTGAAATATTGTCGTTCGCAGATATGAATCTTGTAAGTAATAAAAACATGAAAAATAGATTATTTTTTTATATTCAAGCATTTTATTTTATTTAAAATGAAATATTAAGTCAGTTTTTATATTATGTATATTATTTTAGCATCATACAAATAATACAACTCAAAAAAATATATCTTTAAAAACATGGTATAATATATAAGCAGATTATGGCATATATGATAACAACTGTCGAACACCATGAGGACCAGTCCAAGTTCCTTTCAGAAGTCTAGACCAGTAAATTTCAGGAATAATCTATATAGATATATTACGTGAGAACAATGAACAAATTTTTTAAAGTATCGAAATAAATAAAAATACATACTTCTTTGGTGAGATAATACATTGATTTTCGTTCCACACTTTGATCAAAAGGAAAAGTCTCCATTGGCTCCAAAGTATATCCACTAAATTCTGCTAAAACCAATTTATCTTTTCCAACAAGTAAGGGGCAACTCGCATATCCATCATATTTCGCCGCAAGGGAAGGATTAAATGTTCCATTAATCACATCTAATAAATTCTTTTTCAATACACCAGACTGACTGGATATTGCTGCTGCAGTTTTTGAAGTTGGCGCAGAACTAGAGTCTCCAAGTGAAAAAATGTTTGGATATTTCACATGTTGTAAAGTATATTGATCAACATCTACCCATCCGGCGGCGTTCCCAATTTTTGATTCAGCGATAAATGAAGGAGGACCCATTGGTGGAACTACATGTAATAAATTATAATTGTAAACTTTGGATTCACCAGTATTTAGGTCTTTGAACACCGCTTCGTTTTTTTCACTATGTATTTCAGTTAGTTCAGTTTTAAGGTTAACTTGAATATCACGTTCTTTAGCAATACGATTTAAACTATTGGCATATTTTTCCACACTAAATATCTTGGCCATTGCAGTATTATAAATAACTTTGGTTCGGTTTCGCACAAAATTCTTTGTAAACCGATCTTCGGCAAGGTAAGCTATTTTTATAGCAGCACCGGGACACTAATAATAATAATAATAATAATAATAAAATTAAATATTTAATTTCAATAAAAAAATATTGAAAATTATGTAATTATAAAATAAAAACCTTGATTGGAGTACTAGGCATCGTGAAAATTGCATTTCCACCACTGAAATTCTTGATTAAATCCCATGTCGACTTAACAGTATTGTCAGAGTAAATACTAGTAACGTTACTGTTTGGCTTGCCAATACTTTCTGGAAGACCTTTAATCTTGTCCCAATTAACTTGAATACCTGTAGCTACAACTAAATAGTCATATTTCACCTATACGATATAAAACATTCGCTCAAAATTTTATATATAGAGTATACATAGGTAGAAATTAATGAGATTGATAATTCACCTGCTGACCATCTTGTAATACGACAGTATTATTTTCTGGGTCAACTTTTGCAGCTTTATTTTTAATCCAATCCGCATTTTCAGGAATTAACTCTTCAGTAAGCTTGGCGGACTCTTCAAAATTTTTTAATCCAGCACCCACGAATGTCCATAAAGGTTGATACTAGTACATAAATAAATTCATATTATATTATTAAAATGAATTAAACATAGGAATGATCAGATAATTAAATTTATGATATTAAATACATAGTGAACGCTTGAAGGTTCAATAATTGCTACAGAACTTTTACCAAGCACTTGAGATATGGTTGATGATACTTGATCGGATAAAAAAATATAATATACAAAGGATGTTATTACAACAATTTTGTTTTATATCAATTGTTGTACATATTACTTATTACCTGCTAAACCACCAGTTCCACCACCTAAACATCATTAAAAGAGTAATGAAAAAAATGAAATTATCAATTATAATTAGTTTACAAGAAAAATCGTACCGATAACAACAACTTTATAAGAGGGTGTCGTAGCTTGAGTCGAAGCAAGTCTTTTAAACAAGAGATTGCTTCCCCTTGTGATATTTTTGAAATACTTTTGTGCTAAAATCATGGATGCTAATGTAACGAAAAAAATCGTTAAATTTCGAATTTAATTAAAATAAATAAATATTTATAGTTTAAAGCATGAATGCTCATAATTCCTTTATCGGTTCATTTTATATTATGAAAATATGGACGATCATTACGATAACGATAATCATGAATAATGAATGATCTACTTAGTCGATTTTTGATTTTGCTTCGGAAATTATTGAAATAAGAAATTTTCATGTGAGCTCCGAATACCGCTAAATGCTTTAGCCTATTCTTAGTATTACACAATCAAACCATTTTTTCTTAGCGCTAAAATAATGAGTTGCCCCCTAATTTAGATCGTCCAATCATAATATGTTTGTTCGAGTAGAATCCAACCGTACTAACGTTCTATGTACGTACAAAAGTAATGCTAGCGCTGGATCATAGATAGATCACACTCTACATTCTACCGAAAATAAAATGCTCCCTGGAACCCAAGACAAATTGTAAGTCTGATTCTGTTTAGAATCTCCATATGTTTTATCATTAACCCCTTGTTAGTACTTCAATTTTTTATAGTTGTACTAAAGTTAGTCTCACTTCAATAGACGGGATGGCACAAAATTTGATTGTTACATAGTTGGTATTGCCGGTGGTAGTGGAAGTGGAAAAACTAGTGTTGCAGAGTATGTCCTAGAAATCTATCTTTAATTCTATAGAATTTATATTAATTGAATTTCAATTGTAGACGAATAATTACGAACTTAAATGTGCCATCGGTAGTGGTTTTAAGCATGGACTCTTATTATAAAGTGTTAACGTCTGAACAAAAGGTTGAGGCTTTTAATTCGTATGTTTATAAATTCAATAGAAGACCCGATCAATCCCGATACTGAATTATTTGTTTGAACATTTTTTTTCTTTGATATACTTATTAATAATTTTAAATATTCATAAAGTGCATTTAATTTTGATCATCCAGATGCCTTTGATTTTGATATACTTTTGGAAAATTTGAAAGATTTAAAAGAAGGGTAAGGATTCAACCTTTTTTTTCAAAATTATTGCTCAAAATATAAAATAAAAAAAAATAATAATAGAAATAAAAATTTTTGTAACCAATTTAGAAAGAGGGTTGAAATCCCGATCTATGACTTTGTGACACATTCTCGGTAAATGAAAATCTAATTATTTAATATTGGCATAGTTTCACTTTACTAAGAAATAATCTATTTGAAGACTTCCTCAAACAACTTCTTTACATGGTCCAAATGTTGTTATATTTGAGGGCATTTTTGCACTATATGATCGTAGGATTACCGATTTGATGGATTTGAAGGTTGTCAATTATTTATTATTTCCAAGTTACTACCCCCAATTCATTGCTATATATGATATTATTATTAAAAATATTAAAAATTAAATATTTTTTTTATAATTTTCGTGTAATAGATTTTTGTGGATACTGATTCTGACATTCGACTTGTCCGTCGATGTACTCTAGTCTTCCATTTTTATTTGTTTTCAGTTTTTTATTTGATAATACACATTAAAATAATTATATAAAAAACTATTCAGTGAAACGGGATATCGATCAGCGTGGCCGTGATATAAATAGTATTTTACAGGTATTATATAAACATTAATTTGATTTTATTAATACTGAATTACAACTGGTTTAAAATATATATAATTTGTGCATAGCAATATCTTAATTTCGTCAAGCCTGCATTTGATAATTTTATACAACCCACCGTGAAGAATGCTGACGTGGTAATACTATTATTTATTTTTTTTTAAAAAAAAAAATTCCAATGTAACTAAAAATTGAATTATATATTTATTTTATCAGATAATTCCTCATGGTCTTGAAAATTTAGTTGCAATTGACTTAATTACTAAACATATTCAGTGCCTATGCCCCACTAAAACTTTAAAGATTGGAGAGTCAATGGTTTGATATTTTATGATGATTATTTCATACAGTAAACCAACTTTTATATTTTAGTTATATATACACAATATCAATATTATGAATTTTATTTGTTATATTGGTATTGAAAAATAAAGAACCATTTAGCAGATTTTTGTTTAAATGATAATTATTAAATATTTGAATTCGTGATTCATGTAATAATAAAAGTGG